GAGGGACAAATTGACAGAAGTAGGCTTCAGGAGACGGGTAATAAAAAAACTATGCTGAGCTAACAGAGCATGCTCTATCCCAACGCAAAGAAGCTAAGAACCTTGATGAAAGGTTAGAGGAGCTGCTGACTAGAATAACCAGTTTAGACAGGAACATAAATAACCTGATGGAGCTGAAAAACACAGCATGAGAACTTTGTGAAGCATACACAAGTATCAATAGCCAAATTGAACAAGCAGAAGAAAGGATACCAGAGTCTGAAGACCACCTTGCTGAAATAAGGCATCCAGACAATATTAGACAAAAGAGACTGAAAAGGAAAGAACAAAGCCTCAAACAATATGGAACATCATATATAAAGACCAAACCTACGATTCACTAGAATACCTGAAGGAGACGGAGATAATGGAAACAAGCTGGAAAACACACATCACGATATTATCCAGGAGAACTCCCCCAACCTAGCAAGACAGGCCAACATGCAAATTCAGGAGATACAGAGAATATCACTAAGATTACTCCATGAGCACATCAATCCCAAGACACATAATCTTCAGATTCTCCAACGTTGAAATGAAGGAAAAAATGTAAAGGGCAACTAGAGAGAAGGGCCAGGTCACTTACAAAGGGAAGCCCATCAGACTAACAGCAGACCTCTCAGCAGAAACTCTACAAGCCAGAAGAGCTTGGGGGCCAATATTCAACATTCTTAAAGAAAAGAATTTTCAGCCCAGAATTTCACATTCAGCCAAACTGAGCTTCATAAGTGAAGAAGAAATAAAATCCTTTTCAGGAAAGCAAATGCTGAGGGATTTCATTACTACTAGGCCTGCATTGCAAGAGTTCCTGAAGTAAGCACTAAATATGGAAAGGAAAATCAGGTACCAACCACTGCAAAACACACCAAAATATAAAACCCAATGACACTATGAAGAAACTGCATCACCTAGTGTGCAAAATAACCAGCTAGCATCATGATGACAGGATCAAATTCACAATAATAATACTAACCTTAAATGTAAATGGGCTAAATGCCCCAATTAGAAGACACAGATAGGCAAATTGGATAAAAAGTCAAGACCCATCAGTGTGCTGTTTTCAGGAGACCCATCTCATGTGCAAAGACATAGGCTCATAGAAACATAGGCTCAAAATAAAGGGATGGAGGAAAATTTGTCAAGCAAATAGAAATCCAAAAAAAGCAGAGGTTGCAATTCTAGTCTCTGAAAAAACAGACTTTAAGCCAACAAAGATCAAAAAAGACAAGAAAGACATTATATAAAAGTAAAGTGAACAATGCAACAAGAGGAGCTAACTATTCTAAATACATAGGCACCCAATGCAGGAACACCCAGATTCATAAAACAAGTTCTTAGAGACCTACAAACACTTAGACTGTGATGCAATAATAGTTGGAGACTTTAATATCCCACCTTGAACTCAGCTCTGAACCAAGTGGACCTAATAGATATCTACAGAACTTTCCACCCCAAATCAACAGCATATACATTCTTCTCAGTGCCACATGGCACTTATTCTAAAATCAACCACATAATTGGTAGTAAAACACTCCTCAGCAAATGCAAAAGAACTGAAATAATAACAAACAGTCTCTCAGACTACAGTGTGATCAAATTAGAACTCAGGATTAAGAAACTCACTCAAAACCACACAATTACATGGAAATGGAGCAACCTTCTCCTGAATGACTCTTGGGTAAATAATGAAATTAAGGGAGAAATCAAGAAGTTCTTTGAAACTAATTAAAACAAAGAGAAAATGTACCAGAATTTCTGGGACACAGCCAAAGCAGTGTTAAGATGGAAATTTGTGGCACTAAATGCCCACATCAGAAAGCTAGAAAGATCTCAAATTAACACCCTGACATCACAATTTAAAAAAGCTAGAGAGGCAAGAGCAAACTAATTAAAAAAGCTAGGACAAGACAAGAAACAACTAAGATCAGAGCAGAATTGAAGTAGATAGAGACAGAAAAAAGCTCCAAAAAATCAATGAATCCTGGAGCTGTTTTTTTTGAAAAAGTTAACAAAATACATAGACCACTAGCTAGACTAATAAAGAAGAAAAAGGAGAAAAATCAAATAGACACTGTAAAAAATGATAAAGGGAATATCACCGGTGACCCCACAGAAATACAAACTACCATCAGAGAATACTATAATCACCTCTATGCAAATAAAATAGAAAGTCTAGAAGAAATAGACAAATTTCTGGTTAGACAGTGGGTGCCGCCCATGGAGGGTGAACAAAGCAGAGTGGGGCCTTGTCTCACCAGAGAAGCACAAGGGCTAATATCCAGAACCTACAAAGAACCCCAACAAATTTACAAGAAAAAAACAACCCCATCAAAAAGTGGGCGAAGGATATGAACAGACACTTCTCAAAAGAAGATATGTATGCAGCCAACACACACATGAAAAAATGCTCATCATCACTCGCTATCAGAGAAATGTAAATCAAAACCACAATGAGATATCATCTCACAACAGCTAGAATGGCAATCATTAAAAAGTCAAGAAACAACAGGTGCTGGAGAGGATGTGGAGAAATAGGAACACTTTTACACTGTTGGTGAGACTGTAAACTAGTTCAACCACTGTGGAAGACAGTGTGGTGATTCCTCAAGGATCTAGAACTGGAAATACCATTTGACCCAACAATCCCATTACTGGGTATACACCCAAAGGATTATAAATCATGCTGCTATAAAGACACATGCACAAGTATGTTTATTGAAGCACTATTCACAATAGCAAAGACTTGGAACCAACCCAAATGTCCATCAGTGACAGACTCGATTAAGAAAATGTGGCACATATACACCATGGAATACTGTGCAGCCATAACAAAGGATGAGTTCATGTCCTTTGCAGGGACATGGATGAAGCTGGAAACCATCATTCTCAGCAAACTAACACAAGAACAGAAAACCAAACACCGCATGTTCTCACTCATAAGTGGGAGTTGAACAATATGAACACATGGACACAGGGGAGTGGAACACTACACATCAGGGCCTGTTGGGGCGTGGGGGGCTTGGGAATGGATAGCTTTAGAAGAAATACCTAATGTAGATGACAGGTTGACCACCATGGCACGTGTATACCTATCTAACAAACCTGCATGTTCTGCATATGTACCTCAGAACTTAAAGAATAATAATAATAAAAAAAGTAAAATAAAATATTAATGGCCTTCAAAGAAAAAAAAAGGCAAGAAACAATAGATACTGGCTAGGCTGTGGCGAAATAGGAATGCTTTTATGCTGTTGGTGGGAATGTAAATTAGTTCAATCATTATAGAAGACAGTATGGTGATTCCTCAAGGATCTAGAACCAGAAATAACATTTGATCCAGCAATCTCGTTACTGGGTATATACCCAAAGGATTACAAACCATTCTACTAGGAAAACACATGCACATGTATGTTTACTGCAGTACTATTTACAATAGCAAAGTCACAGAACCAACCCAAATGCCCATCAATGATAGACTGAATAAAGAAAATGTGGTACATATACACCATGGAATACTATACAGCCATAAAAAGGAATGAGATCATGTCCTTTGCAGGGACATGGATGAACTTGGAAGCTACCCTCAGCAAACTAGCACAGGAAGAGAAAACCAAACACCTCATGTTTTCACTTATAAATGAGAGTTGAGCAATGAGAACACATGGACACAGGGAGGGGAACAACATGCACCAGGGCCTGTTAGTGGGTGGGGGGCAGGGGCAGGGAACTTAGAGGACAGGTCAATAGGTGCAAAAATTACATGTTTTTTAAAAAAGAAAAAAATTGTATATGCACTCACATATTTTAAAAAAGGAAAGAATAGTACTCTGTGTTATATTTTCAGTATAGCTTGTCACATAATTGTTCCTTGGATACTGGCCATTCATGTATAATATTTCTCTAGTAACCAGGTTATCTAACCAAAATGTTTAATTCCCTCACCATAATTGAGTAACAGTTTAGTTTACAAGTTATGATCGTATCATTTTTTAAAATTTCAATATCTACCACAGGGGAAACCTGCAATCATTCTTTTCTACAGTTAGTGGCTAATTTATTTTATCCCACTTTTTCATTTTTTGATCCCTTCCAATTTCCAGGAATTTAGAGGTTCCTTCTGATTTTAGAATGGAGAAACAGAGTTCATTTCCATGTGGTACTGATTTTTCACATAGGTAGTAGCAACATTTTACTACAATAAAAAGAGCAAAAGTCAGTAATAGATTCACATAAGTGTTTAGCTAGAAAAATGAGACACAGCTAATGGGTATGTGTCGAAGCAATATTAGATAAAAGCAATTACAGAATAAAATGGTTCAAATCATAATTCCTAATGAAAAAATAGATTACTTCATCATAAATGTATCTCCACGAAATTTATTAGATGCACATCTCTTGGAGTATACATATCACTAGAAATTCTCTCTCCAGTGGACTTCTAAAATCACTGAAATGTTACTAATCCCTTATCTGCCGGTGTTGTTCAAGAAGGCATCTCACCCCTTTTCCTTTTCACATTCCTTAAAAAGCTGGAAACAGTCCCAGTCCTCTGTGTGACAGTGAACCCTAAGGCTGCGAGTGTTTTCATTTACTGGGCTTGAATACCTGTTTTTAACTCCCTGGAGATAGTTGCCACAAAATTCTCCCTCAAACACACAACCTCTTTCTACCTGGTTTCTTTATGCGTTTCGAGCTGGACTTGAAATGAATTGTCTGCAAGCCACCATCTGACAGCCTAACACACCATCTTAGGGTTTCCTCGGCTCTCCAGACTGCTGTCTTGCATCCTCAGAGATGGCTTGGGGATAAAAATGAGTTTAAAACAAAACTTTCTTTAGCTGGTCCAGCGGCTAAGGGCAGCTCTGATGCATCCAAGCACGGTGCCCCCTTCTTTCCCAGTTCTGCTCTGTGCCCATGGAAAAGGGGGCGGAGGCGAGAGAGAGGACGAAGAGGCGGAGGTCACTCGCGCGCCCCATCCCTCCCAGGCTGCCAGCGCAGCTAGGTACAGAGGGATCCCAGGAGCCGAGCGCGCCCGGCAGGTTCCGCGCTAAGGGAACGAGTGCGCGGAGGGTCGAGCTGCAGGACCACAGCCGGCGCCCGAGCAGGATCTCCGCGCTGGGCTCGGTGGAACTCGAGGTGGCGGCGGCCCAGGGCGCCATGGCTCACCGAGCGGCTCGGTCTTCTCCTCCGCAGAGAGCCCGGTTGGCGGCCTGGGATGACAAGGTACCACCCCTCCAGAGGCTGATCCCAACGCATGGGCCTCCGTATGCTATCCAGACCCAGGTTTAACCAACTCACCCCCTGGGACACCCGGCCGCAGCTTCTGCCAGCTGCGTCTGACACTGAGTTTGGACCAGATTCCCCAAGCTAGGGAGACGCGTAGAGAAAGAAGGGTACTCGGGCTAACCGGTCCCCATTCTGAGCTGCTCGGGTGGGGACCGGGTAGAAAGGGTCTCAGAAGAGGGAAATCGGCAGAGATCCCGCTTCTTGCCGCTGCAGGGTTCCCTGCGGGCGGCACTTCGAGTTTGTCAGCCGGGGACCTTCTCACGCCCGGTGCCGGGATGAGGGAGAAAACAGCCCTTTGGCGTTTGAGTAATTGCAGAAAGTTTCAGCGAGTTTGTCAGTTTGGAGAGGATGTTGTGAGACCAGGCCAAAGGGCGGCGGGGGTAGTAACGGGCGAAAGTCGAACTGTGAGTAAGACCTGGAGGAGGTGACCGTCCTGGGGGCAGCCTAGGCAGTCCCACTCCGGCTGGGCGCAGGAAAGGCTGGTTCCGGAATTCCCAGCCTCCGGGAAAGCTAGCTGCTCGGGAAACGCCAATCGAATTAGCTCGGAGCAGAGTGGCTGTGGCCTTCTGTATCCAGTGTCTGTGACTCAGGCTTCAGCCCCCTAGGGGAAAGAGTGACAAATAAATACTTCGCCTTGGATGTTGCTACTTTGAAGCTGTAATTGGACAGTATCTTGGCGGAGGTGCACAGTGAGCGTGGCCCGCCCCCTTCCCTATGGCGAATCAGAATTTCTGCACAGGGGCAGCTAGACCAGAAAACCTTCCTAGAGACTCACCACTCTGCTTTTCATGGGTTCAACGTGTGTGTGGTTTGCTATTCTTTGATTTAGGCTTAGGAACATATTCAGAAAATCTGCATTTAACATCAGTGAACTTGCTAGTCTCCTTCCAAGGTTTGGAGATTGTTATGTCTGCCTGACAAGGATGTCATTCAACTGAGGAATAATCTGCAGTTTGGGGACAAAGGTTTTTTTTGTTTTGTTTTGTTTTGTTTTGTTTTTAAATAGACTTATGATTTTAAAAACCTTATTGGGTTTAAATCTAATCTTGGTAGCAATTTTGTAAAACCTGAAAATTATAAGGTGTCAGTGATGTGTCAGGGGGACATACAGGAGGAGGTGCTCATTTGCAGAGCGGCCACAGAAGTTAACCAAGGGGTCTCAATTTCGACAGTTTCTTCACCTTGAAAATGAAATGTGGAACCGCAGGCTGATATGAGCTGCTTTCAGTATGATGCAACCTTGCTTGTGATAGGCCAGATAAAACCTACCGCACCACAGGGTGCTGGGGCACGTCAGTCATAAACGTCAGATGAGCAGTAATGCGTTGTTCATAATTCCTCTCTCTTTAACCTACAGATGTCTGGACTGCAAGCTTGCACAGTTTTGAAAGGGAGATGACTTGAGTGGTTGACTTTTATCTCCACAACAATGTCCCTGAACAATTCCAAACAGCCAGTGTCTCCTGCAGCTGGGCTTCTTTCAAACACAACCTGCCAGACGGAAAATCGGCTTTCCGTATTTTTTTCAGTAATCTTCATGACAGTGGGAATCTTGTCAAACAGCCTTGCCATTGCCATTCTCATGAAGGCATATCAGAGATTTAGACAGAAGTCCAAGGCATCGTTTCTGCTTTTGGCTAGTGGCCTGGTAATCACGGACTTCTTTGGCCATCTCATCAATGGAGCGATAGCAGTATTTGTATATGCTTCTGATAAAGACTGGATCCGCTTTGACCAATCAAATGTCCTTTGCAGCATTTTTGGTATCTGCATGGTGTTTTCCGGTCTGTGCCCACTTCTTCTAGGCAGTGTGATGGCCATTGAGCGGTGTATTGGAGTCACAAAACCAATATTTCATTCTACGAAAATTACATCCAAACATGTGAAAATGATGTTAAGTGGTGTGTGCTTGTTTGCTGTTTTTATAGCTTTGCTGCCCATCCTTGGACATCGAGACTATAAAATTCAGGCGTCGAGGACCTGGTGTTTCTACAACACAAAAGACATCAAAGACTGGGAAGATAGATTTTATCTTCTACTGTTTTCTTTTCTGGGGCTCTTAGCCCTTGGTGTTTCATTGTTGTGCAATGCAATCACAGGAATTACACTTTTAAGAGTTAAATTTAAAAGTCAGCAGCACAGACAAGGCAGATCTCATCATTTGGAAATGGTGATCCAGCTCCTGGCAATAATGTGTGTCTCCTGTATTTGTTGGAGTCCATTTCTGGTAAGAGCCTGAAATTCTGACCTCTGCTTTCTTGTGTTAATCCATATTCAATTCAAGGTTATCTTTTTCAAAGTTGTTAGTCTGGAAGTTCGGTCTTTTAAATGCTGAGAATGACCCCTACTCAAAATTTATTTCAGCACTCAGCTCTGGCATAGAATTACATGGGATATGACACATATGGTTATTTTCCCACAAGCCCTGAAGTGAAAGAAATGTATTGCTAAACAATTCTAACCATAGTGTTAGCTGCTTCAAAGCAGTGTAGTTCTAACAGAAGTTACATATTTTTAATATACTGAATATGATTATTTCTAAAATGTGAACAAAATGACCAACTATAAAATAACATTTGAACAGATTGCAGTAAGTCTTGATAGAAAGTTACATGGACTTTTAACTTGTAAACAGGGCATATTAGCTACTGGGTTCTCCTAAGCATGTAATGACCAGAACTGCAAAGGGTGGTGCTGAATTGAGATAGCTGGATAGTTCAGGTGCACTGCATGGATAGTTCAAGTGAAGAAATCAGTAGTTCACTAACACAGGGACAATGCCATTAGTCCAGGGAGTGGTACGTTTGGCAGGAAGGCCAGAGATTCCTCCCTTATTGTTTCATTCATTTAACATTTTAATTTAACCAGCATCTATATGTGATAGCTTAATAGTTTAATTTGGAAACGAAAGCTAAAGTGAAGCTATTAGAAACAAACATAAATCATGTCATTTTCCAGATAGAAGACAAAAGTCATATTTATCATAGATAAGTAAGACCTTAACTCTTTCTAACATTTTGCTTTATAATGTAAGAAGTGACAACATGCCATGAAAGCAAACAAAAACAAAACCCTCTGTAGCGAGCAAGTGAGGCAAAGATTTTCTTTTTTCCCTCGTCTCTAACAATGGGGAAGTGGGAGGGCATCCAGAGATAGTGATACAGGTGGGGTGGAAGTGAGGCAAAGGTAGAGGTAAGACAAAGGTAGTGGTTGTATCTTACCCGGTAGAATGAAGGTGCTTGTTACTAATGCAGTTTTCCAAGGCTTCAAACAGGCTGATTTCCCAAGAATTGATGCTAGTGCAATTTTTTTTTTTCTTTTTTGAGACAGAGTCTTGCTGTGTCACCCAGACTGGAGTGCAGTGATGTGATTTTGGCTCACTGCAGTGTCCGCCTCCTGGGTTCAAGCAATTCTCCTGCCTCAACCTCCTGAGTAGCTGGGATTACAGGCGTGCGCCACCACACTCGGCTAATTTTTGTGTTTTTAGTAGAGATGGGGTTTCACCATGTTGGTCAGGCTAGTCTCAAACGCCTGACCTCGTGATCCACCTGCCTCAGCCTCCCAAAGTGCTGGGATTACAGCCGTGAGCCACCGTGCCCAGCCCACTAGTACAGTTTTAATTAATGATCCAGATGATTTTGATACACATAAAAGTTTGTGATAGCTGCTACTGCACACAGATTCTATGACAGAGTTGAGTTTATTTTACAAAGGGAGTTCTACTTTTCTAATATTTAAAAAATTTCTATTCATATTATTGCCTCACAACCTGAATTTGGCTTCTTGAATTGTTAAGTCATTTAAATATTTTTTGTGTTGTTCCTGAGTTGGCCAGGTCATAAGAGCTTACCCAACGGGAGAGTGGGTCTATCAATGGCAAGTCAACCTTTGGAGACCTGCTTATTGTCAATTGACAATTACTTGGGTGAACCCAGTAAGAATCTGATCTGTGATTAGAGTATAGTTGTGTGAATTGAATAACAGAAACCATTTCTAACAACACTGGAACCACTTCTTTGTTTATTTTTGAGGAGGTTAATGTATGTCACTTGACTAAAGAAATTTCCTGAGTATAATGCTTTTTTAGTTTTCTGTAGTTAAGCTTTGAAGTAAAGTAGCTTTTAAAACTAAAAAATGAGTCTGAATGAGTTGAAATGAATTTGGGGGTGGTGAAAGAAACACAAAGAAAGTGAGAAAAGAAGTGGCTAAAAATGTTTAAATAAACTTTTACAATGAAGGTTGTGTCTCTGGAGAATACCTCAGAACAGTGAAATAGTGAAGCATTAATAAATGAGAGACATAATCTGGACAACTGAGGTAATCACTTGTATTTTGTTTTTTGTTTATTCTGAGGCAACTTAAAAATTCTGTTTAGTTACTGGATTTCGACTTTGAGGAATAGGAGTCATAGACTTACTCCTGCAAGACTATGGAAGGAAGCAACATTTCAGACTCTTGGCATGGATGTTTTCCCCTAATTTCTCCATTCCTGGATTTTTGGTTCGGTTTGGAATAAATATTACAATGTAATTCATATTTTGAACATATTTCCTAGTGGAAATAAAGTTTCATTTTTTACAGAACATTTTCTGAGGTCCACTTTCTCTTTAACTATGAATTACTGATATATCTATGTCACAACGTATGAATACTTTTGGCATGAAAATTATTTCTGTGTTAGATGGGTAGTAGATACACCACAGGTATTACTTAATGGGCTGATATTTTGAGTTATTTTAAGCATTCTTGGCTTCCTGGCTTCTTTTGTGGGGATTTGAGTCTTCATGAAAATTTCTGACTAAAAGATTTCATCAGAACTTTGGTATTCTGGACACAAGTGCCTTGGGGATTAAGTTAAGGTCCTCAGACAGGTATAAATAACCTTATAAAAATACAGGCTTGAGAATCTCAAAATAACATCCAGTACTAATACTTCAGTTGAAAATTTTCTCTTTTTCTCTCTCACACATCTAGGAGGATTTTAATAGATATTAATTACTGAGCCATCATTTTCCTGTCCACCTTGTATTTTAAAAGCTTCTGATTTTTAAAAATACCTCTGAAACCAAGCTTCTGGATTCCCACAGATGCACTGTAATAGTGACAGCTTCCAGGTCAATGCCCCATTTCATACCATGTGCCTTTTCTCTCTGATTAAGTGTGAATTGTTGGATTTGTATTTGAATGAAAATCTGCACACACTCTTTGATCAGTGTTCACAGTCATTTTCAAGTCTCAAGCTGGAACAAAGGTAGAGGTACATACACTAAAAGGAGGAAAGGAGTAAGGTGGAGATGATGGTGTTTGTGCTTGACAGGAACTACTGCATCAAAACTTATCAATAGTGGCATAATTTCTAAAATCATTGAAATTTATAAATTGAAATTTATATTTAAGTTAGTGTCAGAGGTGATACTTTATGAATTTGTTGAGTTTTAATCAATACAAAGGTAAAATGATCATAATGTTTGAATTCTCTCTCATGTTAATAGACTATTTTACTTTTTTGAGTAGTTTTGGGTCTACAGAAAATGAGTAGAAAGTAGAGAGAATTTACAAATACTCCCTTCCCCTCCTCCCACCCATCACCTTTATTATTAACATCTTGCTTTGGTGTGGCATATTCGTTACAATCGATGAGTCAACACTGCTATATTATTATTAACTAAAGTTTGTAGTTTACATTAGGGCTATCTCTTTGTGTTGTACATTCTACGGGTTTTGAAAATCTAGAATGACATGTGTCCACCATTACAGTATCATGCAGAATAGTTTCCTTACCCTAAGAATGCCCTGTGGCATTATAATGTGTTTTTATTTTTCCAAAAGGGGAAAATGTGCTTTCCTCCTCCTAGTAATTGAAATGTAGAAATGTAGTACAAACATAACATTTATTTAAAATATAACTTGTCATTTACTTAAATTTTCACAATATCTGGGTTTTGTAGTTTTTAAACACAGTTAATTCATTCACATTCATTTAATTATAATGCTAACCAAAAAATACAGGAAACTATAACCGATGCTTATTATCTTACAGTTCCATTTAGCAACAAGTTAATTCTAAACATCTTTGAAAGTGAAACAGCAATTATAAAATTGTCTCGTGTTCTTCCTAGATGAATCACTTTTCCTTAATAAATAAATCTTGAACACATTCTCCTGATGTCTCTATTGTGAAGGGGAAAAAAGAGATTTACCAGCACTTTTGAGAAACATTTTCTCAATCTTGTTTTGTTTCTACTTTTATATGGGTAATGATTCTTTGTAATGCTCCACTTCTAGAATATGCAACCCTAAAAGGAATTAATTATTAGTGCTATGTGTAGTTCACCTATTTGGCAGAGCAACAAATACTTGTTGACTGGTTGACTGTAACTTAAGTAGTATGAATGTCAAAAGATTGGAAATGATTGACCAGTATATGGATTCTGAGTTTTGTAGGTTAACAACCAAGCAAACTCTGAAACCAAATGGTAATTTTAATCTGTTCCCTAATCACCAAAGGTAGACCTGGGACTCTATTAAACTTCAGCTGTCTTTTACTGGAAGGCCATATGTTTGTTTTACCTTCTCTTCAGGGATACAGAATAATTTTGAATGGGAAAGAGAAATATAAAGTACATGAAGAGCAAAGTGATTTCTTATGTAGGTGAGTTTACCCAAGAAATGTGTTCTCTTGCAAATGTAGAGTTGGAGCTTGATTTTCCTAAGATTACTCTTATGCTAATATTTCTAGTCAACATAGTTAAACATTGTTTGGTCACGAAAGTGTTTGTCAGATATAGATCAAAGAACAGGGTGGCTAATTGAACTTTGCCTGAAATTACTAAAGGTATTGACTTCATAATGACCAGGTCTTAAAGGGCTAATGACAAATGATGGAGTAGCATGACACATTTTGACTATTAGTGAAGAATATTTTCTTTGAAAGGCTGACCCCCATCATCATATTTAAGAATGGTGTAATGGAAATCTATGTATGTGTCTTGAGCACTTGCCTCAATACCCAAAGGATGGTGAGTGGATGTACGTTTATATGTTTTAAGTGAAGAGATAATGTGGAAAATTGCACATGTACAATATAAATGTGTACATGTGTATATGTAGTGTGTATATTGCTTATGTATTTAGGTACATACATAAAAGTGTAGATGTGTACATACATACCTGTGTGTGTATGTATATATACAAATACACACATAAATGTTAAATTACTTCCCAAATTTAAAAAATTAACCAATTGCCATTGGATCAAATAAGAGAGATTCTAGTGGGTGGCATAGCTATCAGATACTGTGTTCACTACTTGGGTGATATTAGAAGCCTGCACCTCAGTATTGTGCAATATACACATGCAACAAACCTGTATAGGTATCCCCTGACTCTAAAAACAAACAAACAAACAAACAAACAAACAAAATGGACTGTTCTATAGTCTTATATTAGATCTTGGAATGTAGGTCTTTCAGGTTTAACCTTGGATTTCTGCTGATTTCAGAGGCAATATTTTCATAAATCGTTTTAGCTAGTTTTCTTTGTGAAGAGGGAGTGTCCCTCTGTTTGGAAAGTGGAAGCAGCAGTGAAGTTGTCTGGATACAGGACTGATGACACCTGGGTTCTACTCCTGCGAAGTTTGTAACTTAGACCTAAATGACTCAAAATTCGTATCTAGCAGAAAAGACATATTTTAGAGATATGTTAATGTACTTTAATCATTGGAATTCAGACGGCTTTCTCACATTGGGGAAAGCATGAAGTAAGTGCCATGGGGTGAATGACCAACCATAGCTAGCAGAGGAGCTGTTCTGGGAGATCAGGGAGCACGTTCCTGTCCCTGAGCCTTGGTGTTCTCCTGCCTGGAACACTCTCCTCTTGACATCCATGTGACTCTCTCCCTCTTTCTTCTCTGTTTTCTCAAATATTCCCTCCTCTAGCCAGGCTATCTTAAAAAGTTCCTGTTCTCTTTTCCTGTCTTCCTTTCCTCTGCTTTATCTCCCTCATAGGACCTAGCAGGATGTGATAACATAACACACATTTCGCTGTTTATCTGGTTGTTGCTGGGCTTTTGCCCCTAGCACACAAGCTCCTGAGGGAAGGGCCTTGCTGATTGTTCTGTGTTCAGCTCCTAGACCAGTGCCCGGCATATAGTTGGGGTCAGTAAGGCTCTGTCAAATGAATCCTACGTAAAGGAGGGCCCAGTTGTTGACTACACTCATTTCCACTTTGGATTAGCTCTGCTGAGGAGGTCAGGACCTGGTTGATAGGCCCTGGGAATACTTCTAGTACTTTGAATTGTGATTTGAGCTGGAGAGGTCCGAGAGGGAGAAATTCTGTGTTCAGGAGTTCCCTAAGAATGTAAGTTGGAAGTAGTGTCCTGGAGAATCTTGGACTTTCTGAAGTTTGAGTCCAGAATGAGAATTTAGGAATTGTGTCAGCTTCTAGAGGAATTTCATGGATACACTAGGCTTGGTATTTTATTTTATGATATTACAATGATTTGTTTATGTGTTTTCTCTGTTATTCCAAATGGTGCTGGGTGGCTCTACTCTACTTTATTAGTTTATGTTTTAATTTCAAATATAATGAGCCATTAATCAATGTTTGTTGAATGAATAAGATAACGAATCAAGTATTGAATGGGAAGTATCAAAGGCAAAGGAAAATATTAGGTAATAGAAATTTGGATTATTTTCACCCCAGAGTCTTTAACACTGTTATTTTCTCTACAGCCACACATTTTTTTCATGATGTATTTTTTTTTATTAGTATTTTATCTCTGAGAGAATGTCAGGGGACAAGAGGAGAACTTACTTTGAGTAAAGACCTCCAGATATTGCATGTGCCTTGCCATAAAATGAAAGCTCTATGGTAAATGTGGAAATTTGAAATGGGCTTGCTTACATCATGTCTTTACCAGCTGATTAAGTGAATGTATGTGCCTTAATTTGTACTGTTATCAGACTAAAAGATTAGGTAGGTTTTATATTCACAGTGGATTAATTCTCAAAAAATCCCGACAGACCTTTTTAGCGGACACTGTGGTACTCCTCCCTGATCTTCCTTTTCTCAAGGAAATTTCCGTTAGCTGAAAGTAGCTGCTTTGTCCAAGATTGTGTCCCTATCTCTTGGGGTCAGTCTATGTGCAGTGACTGGTGGATGTGGGGATACAGCGAACTTGTTCCTTTGCCTCGTTGGGATATTTCTGAAGGTCCATTCATGTTTGAGGACTTGCTGAGGCGTCTGTTGAGGAGTTTCCTTGCAACTGCATTGCAGCTCCTCTCCTGCCCAATCCTGCTTCCTTCCCCACTTCACTCTTCCCCTGGGAAGCTTCCTGCATGCAGATCTCTGCCCCGAAGTCTATTGCCTCCACAGTCTACCTTAGGACAACTTTTCAGAAATCTATTTGTGTTCATGTACTATCTGCATATAAAGTGCATTACACATTGATTTACAGTATTATTTGATAAATATATGAGCTATGTATAGGCTATGTATATGGAATTGAGCTCATTTAAGTATAAAACTATCTCCCTCCATAAAAGTGTATAGTGTAAAATTGGCAAATGTCAGTCCAGTTTTAAAAGACATTGCCAGGATGAGAATCTATACAAGAATTTGTTGCTTTGGATGAGCACAGTGATCTGGAACACTTTGTTATTTTAAATTTACTTACTCTTGGAAAAACATGACCTTTTTTTTTTTTTTTTTTTAAGAAGAAAGACTTATAAAAATGCCCAAAGATATCATAGACATCGAGACGACACTTACAAAACATTACTTGAATGACTTAAGTGTAAACGAATCAGAAACGTGTATTAAATTTATACCCTCAGGGATATAAAAATCTTCTGGCTTAAAGGGTTTTGGGCTTTTTATTAAGCTCCAAAACATTTGAAGAACAATTCAAGATGTTGATGTGTCCCAAAGCTCTTTGGGTTGCCAGTTTTAGCTTTATTTGCTTAAGACTTATCTTTATAGGAAGTATATAAAATGCATTCCGTTTGTTTTGGAAGGCATGTATAGCCACCCCAATTTTACCTGATACATCAGTGTCATTTATCTGTACTCAGAGAGGACTTCATCCAATAGGATAAATTTGTCTTGTGATACTTGTATCAGAGCTTGTGTAAACCTGTCTCCTGTCTGTCCTCTTTTCTGGGTGTAATCCAGCTAATGCCATAGAAGAGTGAATATAGTTGTGGTTTCACATAGGTAGGGAGGTGTTTTTTCTCACTCCTCCTCAGCTATTGTATCCCAAATGAAATTCAGACTGTGGAATGCTGAAATGGAGTGTGGCTGTGGTGTGATGGTGAAGGAGACAGAGACAATTGGATTACGTAAAATGAATTATTTTAGGTTTTTGTGCATAGTCCCAAATCAAGGCTTCCTTTGAGAACAGTGTAGTTATTCAGAGGACAGGCGGGGAACATGAATCTCAGCCTCACCACTCCTTAGCTATGACCTTAGAGTTACTCTAAGACAATTGTGCCTATCTGTGATTAAAATCATAGTATACTCAGATGTACTGTCAGATTAAGTAACTTGACTTCCCTAAAATCTCATCACAGAGTGATTGGTGCATAGTAAATATACAAGAAAATCCATAAATACTCAAAAAGTTTATTGGTATTAATGCTGCCCACCATCTCAATGAAAAATAATCATCTGTGTTAGTTCAGATGTTTTTCATTTTCTCTTCCATTAAGAAAGATTGGTTGCAGTAGAAAGGAAGAGAGGAAGAAGCTCATAGCTTCAGAAAACTTGAATGTTTCCACTCCAAGTTTCAAATTATAGGTCCTTATTTCACTATCTCATCAGAAGTGAAGATGTTGACTGCTAACCTCCTAAATATTCTAATAATTTGTAAGATATTAATTATTAGATCAGAGTTGTGAGTGGTACCAGGGAGTAAAGGATACAGATCTTTCTTCAAGGAACTTATAATTTAGTTAAGCAAAAGATGTAAGATATTGGCCTTTGAAGAAGCAATATAGTGTAGTGGTTTAAGAATCTGGGTTCAAGTCCTGTTTCTTTCACTTCCTGACCATGTGACTGTAGCCACTCTGTGCCTCTGTTTTCTCATAATTAAGTAGTAATAAAGCAAAGTAAAATAAGTAAAATAAAGTGAAATAAGTAGTAATAGTACCCACTTTATAGGGTGGTTGTGAGAATTAAATAAATTAATGTATGTAAAGCACTTAAAATAGTGTTTGACATATAACAAGTACCATATGCTTCAGTTATTATACTATTCTCATTGTTGTTTCTGTTACTATTAAATAATAATTTTGCCTGCTAATCATTTTGTCAATGAGATGATCAAAGGCACTTTAAAATTATTTATTAAATGAATAATGAGTCTTATAAAAGGGATTTGTCACTTCTAATTTGATGATCCATAAGTTATTATTTGTTTATTGATCTGACAAATATTTATTGGGCATCTAACATGTATCAGGCACTGTTCTAGATTCTAGAATAACAATCTCTGTAATTTAACTGTTTATAATGTCTATGGCCTTAAACAATTGTACTTGTAAGATAAAAAGGGAAGAGATATGCAGGAAATTGAAATATAACGATTCTGTCTTTTGTTACAACAGAATAGCAGGTATTTTATTATGAATCTTTGTGGATGGGATTATTTGTGACAACTTAGGAAAAGGAAAAAATTTCTCTGGGCTATCATTTACAAAGAAAAATTACTGGAAATAAATGTAATTGAAAGTCAGTTAATGTAAGCTATAAGAACCAATGAGAAAATAATGCATATAATTCCCGGAGATACAGAAGTATGAAAATGAGAAGAGAAACTCTTTAGTATTTGGGCCAGGCTTTAATAGGATTAGAATACAGCAGGTTATAATAAGTTAATATTAAAAGAAAAATTTTTCAAGTAATAAAATATGAGTAGTAGAAAAATTAAGTTAGATAATACAAATTTAATAATTCAAATTAGTATTTTATACTATCTTTTCATAAGGAGAGTGACTCAGGATATAGAAGAGAAATAAATTTTGGGTGAAATGAAGCATTACAAAAGCTTCTGACACTTTCTAAGAATTCAAGGAAGTTTTAGAAATAAAGAAAAACAATTAAATCATTATATTGCTGTGAACATGAGTAATAGGAAGAAAACCAAAAAGTTCATTTATGCTTTCATTTACTCATGAATAATTTACTCATTGATTTACTCTTTCAGCAGACTTTGCTGAGGAAATGGGTGGGTGTCTCTCCAGGTGGAGGGTAAAGGATAGAGACAGAGACATGACCTGGGAAAATCTTCCTGAGACAAATTCTAAGACTCATGCTTTCTGTCTCCTTCATTTTGTCTGTGACCTTGCATTCTCTTCTCCAAACTCCACATGCATCCTCTGCCTACTCTTTCCACTTTTACTATGGGGTAAACATAGCTATTTGTATTTTTCTGGCGTTGCTTTGTAGCAGGTCAGGGAGGTAATGTCTTAGTAATACTGAAGGAACCTCTGATCACAAAGGTGAATTAGTAAGTACTAAATACACAGCAAGAACATTGTTGCAGCAGCAGTGGCAGCAATATTTGTTGTTATTGTTATTATATCACCCTTTATTTTGCTTCTTGCATTTATGACCGTGGCTGTGGACCAGAAAATAGAAGGAAAAATAAAAGTCACATGAGTGAAGGAGAAACAGAATGCAAGGGTGAAAACAAGGCAATTAGGGCTGCAGAAAGCCGGTGGTGTGAGGGTGAAGAGAGGCACTCTCATGTTTCAGGAACTCTGTTGGAAAGATGAGACCTTTTTATTTTCACAGACATCTTCTCCTTTATTGAGGAATATTAAATTTAATGTATTATATTCCCCAAGCTATTTGAAAAAATATAATATTTTCTTTAGCTATAAAATTTCATTGTAAAAAATTATAGCAAACTACACACTGAGTTTTTAAAAAAAATCTTCCAAATCCCACTATCCAGAGACAACTACTGTTAGTATTCTGGGTACATCTATCCTTTTACCTAGCTAATGGGGAAAATACATTATTTTAATTCTTTGATTAATAAACATTTTTTATTACAGTTGTTGGGCATTATCCCTTTTACAAATGTACAGGTATTTGTATTTTTCTAAATGATGTTCAAGAACTCTTTGGATAGCAAAGAACAGATAATTCTGATATATAAAAATACTTATGAAATAAATTGTTATAAAAGCAGTTGCTTTTCCAGGTTTATTGTTTGCCTTTTAATTCAGTATTTGAGTTTACAACAGTAGTGAATTAATAATTTCTTTTGTGGTTACTGCTTTGTTTCATGTTTAAAAAATGCTTTTCTCAGGCTGAGATGATATCAGCATTTATCTCTGTTCTTCTTCTAGCAATTTTCCCCATTCATCATTTGTATTTATGTTTTAATACATTTATGACTTACTTTGGTTTGATTTACAAGTTAATGATCTGAATTTTCTGTTGAATGGTTAGCCAGTTGTCCTCAAATTATTTATTGAATGATCTTCCTGCAAACTGTTTTAAATTCCTACATTTAGTATATATAACATTCTAACATGTGCTTGGATATTTTTGGATCCTTTATCTTATCCTATTGATCTTTACATACAATTAGTATTAGCTTTATGTACAATTATCATCTTTATATTTTATTTAGACTTGGGTTCAATTTATCAATTTTAATATAGAGTGTTTCTTATCTTGATCACAATGTATCTTATTATCAAAGTCATGTTTTTAATAAAAATTTTGTAATTTTCCTCATAATAGTGAGGCAAATTAGTTGTGTTAGTTTTATAACACTTTCATTCTAACTTTTTTTTTTTTTTTGAGATGCAGTTTTGCTCTTGTTGTCCAGGCTGGAGTGCAGTGGCGTGACCTTGGCTCACTGCAACCTCCGCTTCCCAGGTTCAAGTGATTCTCCTGCCTCAGCCTCCTGAGTAGCTGGGATTACAGGCACCCACCACCACACCTGTCTAATTTTTGTATTTTTAGTAGAGATGGGGTTTCACCACGTTGGCCAGGCTGTTCTCAAACCCCTGACCTCAGGTGATCCACTCCCAAACTGCTGGGATTACAGGCATCAGCCATTGCGCCTGGCCTATTCTAACTTTTTAAAATTTTTTGTTTCTACTGTAAATATAATCATATTATTTTCTTTTACATATACAAGTATATAAGAAAGCAGTGATCTTGATACATTTGTTGTTTATTGTGGTAAAATTTGCATAATATAAAATTTACCATTTTAAGCATTTTAAGGTGTACAATTCATTCACAATGTTGTGCAGTTGTCACCACCATCTTGTACAGAACATTTTTTTTACCCGCAAAGAAAACCCCATATCCAACAGTAGTCACTCCCCACACCCCAAAGTCCATGGCAACCACTAATTTCTCTCTTTCTGGGTTTGTTTATTATGGTTATTTTGCATAAACAGAATCTTACAATATGTCATCTTTTGTGTCTGGCTTCTTTTGGTTAGCATAAGGTTTTCAAGGTTCATCTACATTGTAGCGTGTATCAGTACATCTTTCCTTTTTGTGGCTGAGTAAATTCATTTGCATCAATATACCACATTTTGTTTATCTTTTCAGAAGTTGATGAACATTTGGGCTGTTTCCATCTTTTGGCTATTGTGAATAATAATGCCACTATGAACATTTGTGTACAAGTTTTTGAACACCTGTTTACAATTCTTTTGGGTATATAACTAGGAGTGGAATTCTTCGTAATATAGTAATTCTGTTTAACTTCTTGAGAAATCACCAAACCTTTTCACAGCAGATGCACCATTTTCCATTCCTGACAGTAATGTGTGAGTGTCCCAATTATTCCACATTTTTTTTTGTCAACACTTTTTATTTTCTCTTTTTATTTTTATTTATATCTTATCGTAATGGCTCTAGTGGATGTCATGGTAACTCACTGTAGTTTAAGTTTCATTTTCTTAATGTTGAGCATCTTTTAATGTGCTTGTTGGCTATTTGTATATATTTTTGGAAAAAATCTTTTTATTTTTGTGTGTAAAAAAGTTATATTGGTCTGTAATTTCCCTGTTTTATTTTATTCTTTTACTTTTAATATTAGAATTATTCTAGTTTTAAAAACCAGTGGGGAAATTCTTATTTTTCCAGGTACTAGAATAAGTAATTTGGATGTTAGTTGCTTTATGATTTGACATTATTTCAGCATTTTTTTTTGACAGTTTTAATTTTTTTCCTAGTGATTGGTTTGTTTGATTTCAGTACAAATTTGCTACTAAATTTATACTCTCAAGGATACTGAGTATATTCTAATAAACTATAATAACCTAATAAATATAATAGCATATTTGAATAAGATATAATATCTTAATATTCTAAGAATATAAAGTTCTTTTTGGCGAATTCCAGCATTTCTGTATCCTAGAGTCAGTCTCTGTTGGTTCTATTTTCTTTTGAGAGCAAGTCACTCTTTCCTGTTTCTTTGTTTATTGAACATTATTGAATTGTATCTTGGGCATTGTGAATGTTATGTTAGGGAGACCCTGCATTCTGTTATATTCCTCTGAAGAGTGTTAATATTTCTGTTTTAACAGGAAATTAACCTGACCAGACTCAAACTTTAAACAGCAGCTCAAATACCAGTTATTTTATCCTTAACTAGGTTACATGGAATCTACCCTAGACATGCATGGTTCAAAGGTCAGCCCAAGATTTGGTCAGAGTTTATATATAATATTTGGGGCTTCCCCTCTCTGGCTCTTTTGTTTCCAGGAGAACTCTGTCCTCTGGTTCTTCAGGCTGGAAAGACTGTGGGTTTAGTATCAGAGTTTAGCTACTCTGTATGGCACAGACTGGGGTGTGTTTTCAGACTGGAAACTGTGGAACAGGAAACTCATCCTTTTTCCCAGAGAATAATTGATTATTCTCTAGAATTTTTCTGCTTTTGGTTATTCTCCAGGGTCTTCAGGTAGTGTGTTTGTTTTTGTTTTTGGCAGAGTTCATAGCTATTGAGTGAAGGTTGATTCCGTAGGAGCTTATTTGGCCGTACCGGAATGAAACGGCACATTTAGATTTTAGATTTGAATTGTTATTTTTTAGAAAAATTCTAAAATTTCCATTTTAGAAATTTAGAAAATTCTCCCTTTTC